TAAGTTTTTCTATATATATTAGTTGGCCAATTAATTTCTTTCTATTTATAGTAGAGATGAGGTCTCGCTGTTGCTCAGGCTGGTTTCGAACTCCTGACCTTGAGCAATCCGCCCGCCTCGGCCTCCCAGAGTGCTAGGATTACAGGCGTGAGTCACCACCCCTGGCCTATTTTGTGAAACTTTTGTTTCAGTTAACACATTTGTATGTGTTCTTCAGTGGTCATGATATAAAATGCATTTCTTATTGTGGGGTAAAGTAAAACAATTTTGAAAAACAACCACTCTGAAGGTCAGTTTCCATAAAGTGGAATAAAATCTCTTTCATGGGATTGTAGTGAGAAATAAGATAATATTTTTATTCATACATAGTAGGGGGCCCAAGCAATAAAGAAGAAGAAGCTCTAGCTTCTTTTTCATTTCCCTGAAAAGAAGCCCATAATATCTATATATGGTACAGGAAAGAAATTCAGTCTTTTATAGAAATTTCTTTACCCACAAGGTGTTTAAGATATAGCTAGACACAGGTCCTCTGGTTTTACTAACTTTTGAATAATAAGCCAACTTCTTTCCCCAATTTGATGAAATTTAAATAAGACAAATAAATGACATTATCTTATCCTGTTGGTACTCTCTTACCCTCCCCACGCTCTAGTGTGCCACATACATACATACTTTCCCACCAAAGCAAGATGCTTCACCTATACACAGGGCAGTATGGATTCCCATAGGGTCACCTGTCATCCATGTGCAACTGTCTCTATCTGTAGTGGCTCCTTGAGATCTAAGATAGAGGTGAGTGATATTTTTTTCTATCAAAAGAGAATTAAAAAAAAATAGGTTCAGAGGAGTGAGGAATTTTAGGGAATATCACATATTATGTTTTTAAATTTAATATGAGAAAAAGAATAGCATTCAGTTTTATAATTTGACAATTAAGGGGACTGAAGAGAAAATAATTGAGGCAAATGGGGAAAGAAAATTTAGTCAAAATGTTTATTTTAAAATTTTTATTAATTCATTTTTGAAAAATACCTTTATTTTCCCAAACAAAAAAATCAGTGAGACAACTGGCATTGTTTTAGAATTTTGGAACTCTCTAATGCCAGGTTGGATTCTTACATCTTCTTCTGCATTTAATCTGTTGCTGTATCAATAAATACTAACTTTTTCCCCTCTATAGTAGAAACTAGGGATATAGCTAGATTACAAAGAGTCCTTTCCTGCCATGAGGAGCTCTGGCTAGGGAGGACTAAAGGCTGATAGAAACAGAGGGTGATGGAGAAAATGAGGTCCAATGAGGTTAAATCAGTTATCCCAGATTGAACAGTAGCAGGGAAGATGGCATCCAAGATCAAGGCACAAATAACTAACCTCAATGAAGAATATTAAGTAAGGCCCTATGAAGGGCGTTGAATATTAAGCCCTAGTTAAGGCATTAGGAAAGAAGTTCTGAGGAAGAGGGCTCTCAATCAATATGTTAACCGACAAATACACAAAACCAGTACCGGAGGCCCTTTTGCAAGGTGTGTTTTTGCTTATCAAAAAACCTCCAGAAGGCCGGGCGCGGTGGCTCACGCCTGTAATCCTAGCACTTTGGGAGGCCGAGGCGGGCGGATCGCTCAAGGTCAGGAGTTCGAAACCAGCCTGAGCAAGACCCCGTCTCTACCAAAAATAGAAAGAAATTAATTGACCAACTAAAAATATATATGCAAAAAATTAGCCGGGCATGGTGGCACATGCCTGTAGTCCCAGCTACTCGGGAGGCTGAGGCAGTAGGATCGCTGAGCCCAGGAGACTGAGGTTGCTGTGAGCCAGGCTGACGCCACGGCACTCACTCTAGCCTGGGCAACAAAGCGAGACTCTGTCTCAAAAAAAAAAACAAAAAAAAAAACCTCCAGAAACAGGCAAAAAGACAAAGTCATAAAGAGATGCGAAGCAACTTACATATAGCCCTTAGAGCTATAAACAGAAAACTTGAAATAAACTCTTCTACTTAATACTGGATATGTGTGTTTATTGAGAGGTGGTCTCACTTAGTTGATAAAGGACTTACAACTGACTAGAAAAAGTTCCTACTTCAAGTTCGAATGGAGATTTTCCTGAAATTTTGTTTTTCTGTCATTGGAAAATAAGAAAACTTCCTACTATAAAAAGGGCTGTCACATATCTTTTTATAATGTTACAAAAAGCTAGTCTTGTGGCCCCTTTCGAACCCTACCCCTTGAGGGGATGTGTGACATTTTAAACTCTAGGCTAATGCAGGGTCATTGCCTCTTGTTACTTACAAGACAGCTGGTTGGAAGCTGGCCCAAAGCTGCTAGGCCTGACAGGTGGACTGGTGATTCCCTACAACAGACCAGTGGTGACAAATTTAAGCTATCTTTGGCACTCCTGTCCTCTTTCTCTGCTCATCTTTCATTACTGTACTCCTGCTTTAACCGAGCTTATCTGCTTGCCTGTCCTTTCCTCCTCGTGATTCAAGCAAATTTCCATTCTATACCTCAACATACAATTTTTTAGCCTTCAAAATGCTCTCTCGTCTTTTTTTATTCTGGATCATATCTAGTATCTAAGATCTGGCTCACAATATTTCTAAGAAGCCTTCCATTTATTCACCATATATTGACTGACATATATATCATATATATGTCCATATACGCCTTCTGTACTAATTTAACTAAACTCCACTATGTTCCTTCAGGAATTAGGTACCCCATTTGTTCTACTTTTGTACATACTACATGTTTTACACAGGCATTTCAAACTATTACTCTTCATTCTGCCTCTGATTCTCTTCTTTCATCATCTATCCTATGTTATTTTCCCAATAATAGTAACAATACTATAGTAATCTGTACTCTCTTGATCCTCACAAAACCCTGTAAGGTGTTAATATTACTGCATACACTTCGCAGACATAGAAAATGAGGTTCAAAGAGGTTAAATCAGTTATCCCAGATCAAACAGTGGCAGGGAAGATGGCATCCAAGATCTGGGCTCAAATAACTAGCCTCAAAGAAGAATATTAAGTAAGGCCCTATGAAGGGCGTTGAATATTAAGCCCTAGTTAAGGCATTAGGAGAGAGGTTCTGAGGAAGAGGGCTCTCAATCAATATGCTAACTGACAAATACACAAAACCAGTACCGGAGGCCCTTTTGCAAGGCGTGTTTTTGCTTATTTGTTTAGTTTTATATGGTTTGGTTTGGAAGGGATTATGCCCTCCAAGCTTTTGTCATTGCACTCACCTCTCCCAACCTGGCCCAGCCCAGCCCCTCCCTGGAGGACTCAGCGTCTGGATGCTGGAGGCGAGGCCATAGGCTGCCCAGGCAGGTGGTAATCTTGGAGGCAGAACCGTGGCCTCGAGTCAGGCGGCTAACGACGCGGCTAACGACGAAAGATTGACGCGGTTGGACCGCGCCATCCGCGAAGCGATAAGGGGCGTAATCTTGGCATCGTTCTTAAAGATGAGTAGGAAAAGAGTAGTGAGGGTGACTGTCTTCCCTGCCGGCCCTCTCTCTTTCTCCTCTCCCTTCTGGGTCCACCAGCGTCCATCCCACAACTTGATTTACTAAGGAGTCGTGTAGCAATGGGGAGGGGGAAAGCCGCTGATTAGCAATTATGGTAACTCGATTGCTAACTCAAACGGGCTCATTTACATATAAGTTGCATGTTAATGTACTTCTGGAAGTACGCAGTATGTCAATAGTTCTCCAACAGGGTATCCCCGCCCGCCCTGCCCCTTAACCAGCAAATTTCACTTCCTTCTAGGCTTCCTTAGCCTCTCCAACATTATCTCTTAGGTCCTCCTCTCAAAGATTGGCCACTCCTCCCATCCGTAAGTTCCTCCCCTAGCCTTCTCCTCCCTCCCCGACTTCCAAACATCTTTTCCCCGCCCCTTTGCTATTTCTGAACAGGCATGTTCCAGGCAGCTCACACGACTCTTTAGATTACTATGGGATCGATAGGGTCCTGAGCGTCGGGGAAGCAGGAAAGCATATCCTGGGGAAAAAAGCTTGGACGCAGGAGAATAATTTTACATCGAGATCTGCTGGAGAATTTATTTATTTTTGGTCTTGGTTGTACGGAGGGAGGAAGCGGAGGGTGTGTGGGCCAGTCAAACCTGAGGCAGCCTGAAGGCCCTCTCAGGCGGCGCCGCGGGCAGCCCCGCAGCCGGGGCCTGGTGCAGCCGCCGCGGCCGCTGTCAGGGAAGCGCAAGCGGCCAATGGAACCCGGCAGTGGCCGCTGCTGCTGAGGCGGCGGTGTCGGCAGTCCGACCCCGACCGCCCGCACCCCCTCCGCGGGGGTCCCCCAGAGGTAAGCTACTCCTCCCCCATGAGTCACCTTTGCCCTGCTAGTAGTGGTGGTGGGGGGGTGTTCTTCTACCCTGTCCCGTACAGCCTTCCTCAACCTGGGTTCGACTACAAAACTGCCCTCCCGGTGGCAGCTGCACCCTGGGTTCCTTCTCCACCCTTTCCTCTCAGGCCTGGAGTCCTCCTCTGGTTTTTGGCTTCCTCTTCTGTTTAGCTCCTCCCTCTGCCCCGGGGATTCCCCCCTCCCTCACTGTTATCCCTGTTGCCTCCGTCTCGAATTATTATTTTTAAGTTCCGAACCCTTTCCACATCAGAGTTCATATATGTTCATTCTTGTTTGTCCTTGTTGTCTGAGTTCCTGTCCCAAACCTTTCCTATGGACTTCGCCTTGATCTCTTTCCCTGTTTTGTCCCTTTCCTCCGAGATCTCAGTGCACCCCCCAGCACGGAGCTAAAGATTGTATCCCTCCCTTCCTCTGCTTCTTCTGATTCCATTACCTCACCGTCACCCACCCACCTGCCTAGCTCCTGGCTTCCAAGAACCGCCTAGTCCCTTCTCTTTAAGGGATCTCAAGTCCTTGTCATTATTCCTGAAGTACCATTTAAATTCTACTTTGAACCTAGCCTCACCCTTCTTCTTTGGGGTGCTTTATGATCCCCATAACTTTCTTTAGCTTCTCTTTCCCCCTCCTCAATACCCCAACCCTCTGGAGGTTTGTTTCTGTAGGAGAGAGAAGATCTGACAGTGCCCCTTCCTATTCAGGATTTCCACCTTTGACACCTCCTTCAAGTTTCAAGGATTTTGCTGATTCTTGTGTCACTTGGTTCTGTTTTCCCTATGGTCTTTATGTGTTCTCCTTCATACTCTTTTATCTCCTCATACCACTTATTTCAAGATCAGCTAAACCTTAAACTAAGGAGAAGAATGTGTTGGGAGAAGGGGGAGCCTCAGCTGTCTCAGGCTTTTTGGGATAGAAGGGTGTTTCTAAAGGATGGAGCAAATTTTGAAGAAGTCTCTATCAGATTACACTTTGCTGACTCCTCAGGAGCAGCCACTAGGAGGGTTGAGCAGGCCTGCATGGAAACTGAGGTTGTGCGAAATTTTGTTTCAGATTATTTAATTTTAGGCTTATGTTAAAGGAATTACAGAATAGAATGTCTTTTCACCCCTGTCCAGATGCAGAAGAATCAGTTTACTGTCTGTGGCTTACTAGAATAGTTTTGGTTGGTTCCATAAGAGCTCAGGCCTTGGGTGGAATGTGGAGGTGGGTAACTGGGAAAAGGAACATGAGATGGTGGAAAAAGCTTGTATATTCACAGTTAGGACTCTTGGGTTCAGCATGTGACTTCCTCACTGACCTCTAGAGCAGGGGTCCTCAAACTTTTTAAATAGGGGGCCAGTTCACTGTCCCTCAGACCGTTGGAGGGCCAAACTATAGTTTAAAAAAAACTATGAACAAATTCCTATGCACACTGCACATACCTTATTTTGAAATAAAAAAACAAACGGGCCAAAACACCGCATGTGGCCCACGGGCCGTAGTTTGAGGACGCCTGCTCTAGAGTAATCTTGGGAAAATGGTCCACTCTACAGTCATCAGTGCAGTATTAGGCTAATAGCAGGATGTAGGTTGAGGGGAAAAATTAGACTTTGTTTATTTGTTTACAAAACATTCTGGGTTCCTCGGACAAAAGGTATTTATTAGTGGTGGTTCAGTCATCCTGGGAATTTTCCTTAATCTTGGTCTTTCTATTGGCTCTTTCTAGTCTACAACCAGGGATGTAAGTCATTTTAAAAGACAAGCTTCAGGCCAGTTTCTTTCATCTGCCCTGTTTTTTTCCCCAGTGCATTAAGATCACCTGTGCTGTTCTTCCCATACTTGATCTATAATCCAGATTCTACAGGTGAGAAGTATGTTTATGGGAAAGCCCTTTGAGGAAGCTGGCTGGAAAAGAGAACTTGGAGTGAGCTGGGACTTAGGAATATAGTTGTTGCCTTGTGTGCCATGTGTCTTTCTTGGCCTGTGATAGCAAAGAAGGTACGTGAAGTTCCATTCATATTCCGACTCTAGGCCTGTTTGAAAGTAGTTATGCCACCACCTCCCACTTCTCCCTTCTCTCTCATCATAAGCTAGAGTGCAGCCTCTACATAATCCTCCTTTTTAGGAGAAGCTTCACTCTTTGGAAGCACCCCCAAACAGAAATCATATATTTCCCCTAGTTTCCCTGCTTCCTTCTCAGAGCTGGGTCCACACTACATGAAAACAAGTTTGCTGAATGCCATCTGAAGCAGCAAGTTGAGATTCTTTGATTTGGGGAAGAGGTTTGGGAGGAATCTTTCAATAATTGGCATGAGATAAGAGAAGGCCTAGTTTAAGCACATTTGGGACTTGCAACAGGGAGAAACAGTTCAGAGAGGAGTGAACATACAGGTTGCTTTCTTTGCCATCTGTCTGTTTCAGCAGGGGCTCCCAGAGCTGGCTTGGGCTGTCTGGCTGGAATCTGCTTATACCAGCTCCATGCCTCTGCACAGAGTTCTCAGCCTGATTCAATATTGACTTAACTATCTTGAGACCACTGCCCTCACTACCCTCCTTCTGGTAGCTTGAGAATGCCCTCTCCCCTGATGCCACCACCCTTTGGGGCCTTGAGTAAGCATTTACCTATTTCATTGGAGCTTGAGCCTGCTTGACTACTCAGCCCTGAGTTTCTACAAGGAAAAAGGAGTACTCAATCTCTACTTTTACAATTGAGGTCAAAGGGGAAAGATAAGTTGAGACCTTCTTAAAGGTTTGAGTTAAACCTTAAGATACGAGGAAGAACTTCTTAATAGCCCTAGAACAGGCAGTCTAGGGTGATATGGAGTCTCTTTTGAAGAGCAACCTCTTTTTAAAAATTATTATTATTTTTAGACACAGGGTCTTTCTCTGTTGCCTAGGCTGGAGTATAATGATGCAATCATAACTCTCTGCAGCCTCAAACTCCTGGGCTTAAGTGATCCTCCTGCTAGGACTACAGGCATGCACCACCATGCCTGGCTAATGTTTAAAGTTTTTGTAGAGACGGGGTCTTGCAGTGTTGCCCAGGCTGGTCTCAAGTTCCTGGCCTGAAGTGATCCTCCTGCTTCATCCTCCCAGAGTGCTGGGATTACAGGTGTGAGCCACCATACCTGGCCCTAAAAATTATTAAAGGAATATTTGCACTTGGTAGTAAGTCCAATGGTACTGAAAGAGTTAATGATGAAAACCAACAGTCCTTTTCCATTCATTCCTGTTCCTTCTCCCTCAGAGTTAACCTCTTTAATTATTTGTATTTAGTCCTTAAGCTTATCCCTTAGCTTTAGATAAAATGCTTGTGCCTTTATTTCTTGACTTATTGTTACAAAAGAGAATTTAGCTTTAGAAAATTTATACTTCTTGTTTATATAATTATGTCACTTTTATTTCTTTTAACTGGATGCCTGTGTAACTTTAATATATTTGAACCTCCTTTTCTTTTCCATTAACTTTTTTCTTTTTTTTTTTTTTGAGACAGAGTCTCACTTTGTTGCCCAGGCTAGAGTGAGTCCCATGGTGTCAGCCTTGCTCACAGCAACCTCAAACTCCTGGGCTCAGGCAATCCTGCTGCCTCCACCTCCCGAGTAGCTGGGACTACAGGCATGCACCACCATGCCCGGCTAATTTTTTCTATATATATTAGTTGGCCAATTAATTTCTTTCTATTTATAGTGGACGGGGGGTCTCGCTCTTATTCAGGCTGGTTTCGAACTCCTGACCTTGAGCAATCCGCCCACCTCAGCCTCACAGAGTGTTGGGATTACAGGCGTGAGCCACCACGCTCGGCCCTTTTCCATTAACTTTTTTTTTTTTTTGAAACAGTCTCACTTTGCTGTCCAGGCTAGAGTGAGTGCCGTGCCATCAGCCTAGGTCACAGCAACCTCAAACTCCTGGGCTCAAGCAATCCTACTGCCTCAGCCTCCCGAGTAGCTGGGACTACAGGCATGTGCCACCATGCCAGCTAATTTT